AAGCAAGCCTTGGGGAGACCCAAGCTGGGCTATCCCTTCTTCAGGGTAACTAGCACAGCAGGTGCCTGCCACAAAGACACTTCTGTGCCTTGTAGCTTTTGTTTACTGACTTAATTCCTTCAGATCAAGGGCTACCCCTCCCACCTCCCCAAGGGGGGGCGAGGGGGGAATTACATTATTTATATTGAAATGGGCAAGACTCCACGGGGACTTCTTTATGCCTGATAAGAGAAAACTGGGTCACAGTCATACCTCCCTGCTGCCTGCAGTCAGGTTTTATAGCCCAGGTGCCCACGGGTACAGGGGTGAGCCGAGTGTGACCCACCCAGCCCCTGCTCATCCTGAGCTTCCAGTAAATTATTGACCTGAGCAGAGGGTATTAATGTGAGGAACGGGAACATCCTTCCTGCACAGCCCCGGTCCTGGCTATCTATCATCTTCTGGGCTTCACAGCTGGCACTGGGCAAACAGCAAGGACAAACAGGCCACACGCAGGGTCATTAAGCTCTGGGTGCAGATGGAGAGATGGGGCCGCTATGGGGGCAGTAGGGTGGGCCTGGTCCCTCTGGCTCTTTCCTCTGCTTTCTTCCTTCTCCAACCTCAAAAGCAAGTATTCAGGGAAAGAGCCACAGTCCTGAGGGGTGACAAGCGTCTAGGCCCCTTGCTTAGAGAATCATGAATGGCCACAAAACTCTCTCAAGCAAGTCCATTTTACAGATAAAAAAACTGATTGCCCCAAACTTGCCTAGGTATGAATGGCTGGCAAGTGATAGAACAGGGGTTTGAACCATGCTCAGTGATTTGGGAGACAGGGAGGATTCAGAGTCCCTAGGCCAAGGTAGGCCACTTCCTCTGCTCATCCATAGCTAGGGGTATAGAGGTTTTGTTTCTTTATACTAGCTGCCTCTGGTACTTGTAAATAATGGGTAATCCTGCTAGATATCCACACCCTCTTTTTTTTCTTTTTGGCCAGTCCTGAAGCAGATCTATGGGTCTGGGCACACTGTCCCTGAGTTCCTTTGGCTCAAGGCTAGCATTCTATCACTTTGAGCCACAGACCCACTTCTGGTTTTCTGGTGGTTAATTAGAGGTAAGAATCTCATAGACTTTCCTGCCTAGGCTAGCTTTGAATCTTAGTCCTCAGATCTTAGCCTCCTGAGTGGCTGGGATGACAGTCGTGAGCCACCAGCACCCAGCCACCTTGCTGTTCTGTGTTATCCTGGCAGTGTCTTTTGGGGTGGGGGCGGGGAGGGAGGAAGTGGGAGGCAAGGCCCCTGGCCCTGGGGAAGGTAGAGCCAGGTTTCCTCCACCTGGGCCAAGAGCAGCTCAGGGCACCAAGCTCAAGCAGCAGCTCAGCCCCATTTGGGCTGGCCTGGCTCTTGTGGTTCCGGCTGTGCGGTGGATTTCTTAGATGTCATGATTTCCACTCAGGGGCAACATACCAGGTGCTGTTCCGAGGCCTCCACTCCAGTGAGCAGTGGGCATCAAGTAGAAACAAGGAGAGAGCGCGGTAGGGGCCTCTCTGAGTCAGGTAGAGACCTTGCTGCGCTGATAAACAGCCCTGTAATTTGCCCGCGCTGCCCTGTCACCGCTCGCAGGGCTGCAGGCAAGTGAGCTTCTGTCTCCTTACCAGGGCCGAGACTGCAAGTGAGTGAGAGCGCACAGGATCCTGCCATAATGCAGTAATGACAGGCTGCCAGGGGGCCCCGCACAGCGGGGAGGGGCAGGCAGGGGAGCCCTCAGCCTCTCCTACTGGATGAAAAGATGCCTGACTGGACTGGCTGAGGAGAGGGGGCCTCTGCAGATAGTAAGCAATGGGATCAGACCTCTCGCCCCAGCGCTGGGCTGCCAGCTCTTGGTTCTTTGTGGGTGGCTCCCGATCCTGTTCTCCACGCCAGGGCTTGTGGGACAGGCAGCCCTGGGGAATAGCTGCCAGGCACTTCCCACTCAAGTGAGGCCCGGGGCAGAGGATGAAGCTGGCAGGGAGGCCTGGAGAGGCGACTTGGGGCTCTCCCGGGGACAGTCTGCAAGGGGCACAAATCAGCACCAAGGTCTGGCCAGCTGCTGTGCATTTACCATCCTGGTCATCACCATAACGCTAGCGGAGAACTTGTGTAGACAGGCACTATTATCAATTGCAATGCTAATGAGGGCCTTAGGATCTCAATGTATCTTCAGAGTGGGGCAGGGTTGTCATTCTGACACCCCCCCCCCCACCAAGTTAGGTAAAAATGTTGCCTGGACAGCTTAAAATGACTAGTAGGTATGAGGGGCTTTCTGTTTTATTGACTACACAGGATACCAGACTACTACTACTTATTATCATCTACACCTGAGAGAGGAAGACATTTTGTATTACCTAATATAAAGTCAAATTAATTTACTAACTCTCCATCTTCAAAGCTTACAAAATATTACTTTTATAATTTTTTTTTTTGGAGTCTGGTTGTGTGGCCTGAACTCTGTCCCTCAGCTCTTCAGCTCAAGGCTAGTGCTCTGCCACTTGAGCCACAGTGCCACTTCTGGCTTTTTGCTTATGTGGTGCTGAGGAATCGAACCCAGGGCCTCAGGCATGCAAGGCAAGCGCTCTACCACTGAGCCACCTTCCCAGCCCCTACTTTTATAATTTTCTAAATTTCACCTCTTTTTAAAATATACTTAGAAATCTGGTTATACTCACTTTGGGAATGTTTTGTATAAAGACACATGCTGAGAAACGTATACAACTATGACATCACTAGGTTATGAGTCTGATTTTGGAAAATTCAAAGCCCAGCATTTTTGCTTGTTTTTGAGACAAGGTCTGTATGACCCAGGTTGACTTTAAAAATCGGAGATCTTGCCTCAGAGGTCTCCTGAGTGCTGGGATCATAGGCGTGCACCACTTCACTGTATTTTGATGCCTTCTTTCCTGGCTGGCTTGTATGATGGAAACTTGAAGCACGTTTTCACACACGTGGCAACAGACTTCTCAGAAGCCCCAATGGTCACAATGTGCCACATGACTGACTGATTGTAGGGTGCAGAAGTTCGGGAAATATCCTACAATAATTTTGGTCTTAATAACAGACTTTTGATTTTAAAAAATAGAAACAAACACAAAGTTTTGCAGGAGTGGTTCCCAACTTCAAGTGACAGCAGCTGTCATTTGTCATGCAGGCAAATGGGCACCTGCCAGCTCCACCTCCCCAAAACTAAAATGAGGAGATTGAGAAGCAGAAGTGCCTGGAGAGCTCTCCTGACCGGGCCCCTCTTTCTCAGGTTTGGACTTAGGGGCCCCAAGTGAAGGGGTTAAGGTGGCAGGAGGCAATTCTCTTCTGGCCAAGGCCGAGGAAGGTGAAATCAGGAGATGGCAGAGGCCCCTTTCCTCACGGAGCCACAAAAGGTGGCCCTGCCACACTGCCCTGCCCCGTCTCAAGTGTCTGAGCAAGAAGCAGGCGGAGGAAGTCCAGGACAAGCCATTACAGCTGAGAACTTTTATTACAACAATCACTTAATTACAACAATCCCAAGAACAGAACACAGCTTTCCATGGCCTGGCCCTGACAGAAGGTGTAACAGGACCCACAGGGACAAGTGCCACTTGACATCAGAATGAATGGCTATCCCTGGAAGCTCCCGGGACAACACGGGAGGCCCAAATCCTCCAAGGCCTGGAGGGCCCAGCCCCGTTGGCCAGGGGCTCTTAGTCACTCTTGCTGATTGTCAGCCTCTGGACTTCTGTGAGGGAGAGAAAGAGAGACAAGGAGGGAGCCAGAGGTGTTCCCAGGACGACACAGTGCAGTCACTCGGGACGTGTTATGTAATGCCAGACCCGTCCGGACATGAATAACAGCAGCGACCACGGGTCGGGACGCGGCCATGGCTGAGCTGCAGCCTTGATCATGTGTGACCGGCTATGGCCCACAGCATGGGCTGTGGACTATGCTGCACGGGCTCCCCGGCTGGTTTTGGTATCGTGGAGCTTTTGCCCAAGGTCCACCAGTAACACTGCGGCCAGGGCCCTGCAACCCCCACCTCCCGTCCCCCCTTCACCCCAGACTCCAGAGACTTCCTTCCTTGACAGGCTCTTCCCTCTAAAACCCTGCATAGAAACAGCAGCCGCCTCAGCCGCAAGCACCACTTTTCCTCAGCGTCCTCCTCCTGGGGCTGGAGACCCTCGGGGTCCCTGATCCTCTCCCTTTAGGGAGAGCTCTGAGCTTCTAGTTGAGTGGGTTTAGGGGGGAAGGTCTCCCTCCTGGGTCAGCCCCAGATACATCTGCCACAGTTCACAAATATCTCCTAGACTTCAGAGAGACACACTGCAGTTAAATTAAAAAAAACAAGGCGTAACATCATTTTTTATAAACCATCATCACACTTCCGTGCCCCGTAGCCACTGTTAAGGATTAAATTTACAGATCAGGAGAAAAGGGAGCCCTGGAGGACATGCAGGAGGGGCTCTAGGCCGAGCAGACAGTCTTGCTTAGAGAGGCTCCGATTCTCAATAGCTATGGCTCAGCTCAAGGGGACTCAGCCACAGCCCCCACTTGGATTCTATACCATATTCCTGCCCTGGATCCCAGAGAACAAGAGTGACACGCAAGGTGGCCTAGAAGTGGTGGCCAGCCCAGGGACCTGGTTAGGTCTGCCTGCCAGTGCAAACAGCAGGATCTCATGGCCATCTGTGTGTCTAAAATCAAACAGAACCACTAGTGATCAACTGCCTCTGCTCTCAGATCTCAAGCCCCACCGGATCTCTTGTTGACTGAGTAATATCACCTGCTCTGCACCATAGGCCAAGTGATAAGATCTGAAGGAGCCCTTTTTGGCCACAGCAATATCAGCAAGGGAGGAATAAAAGGACCAGAAGCTGGGTACCAGTGGCTCACACCTGTAATCCCGGCTACTCAGGAGGCTGAGATCTGAGGAAGCCAGCTTGGGGAGGGAAGTCCATAAGACTCTTATTGACAATTGATGAAGTGGAAGCAGAGCTGTGGCTCAATTGGTAGAGTGAGCAAAAAAGCTCAGGAACAGCACCCAGGCCCAGAATTCAGGCCCTAGAGCGGCACAAAAAAGAAAACACAAAAGAACCGAAGTCAACCCAAGGGAGTCTCAGTTCTGGCTCCACAGTGATTTTCTACTGTGGCTGCCCAGCTGTTCACCCAAGCCCATCTCAGACTGAACCCTGTGCTGGCCCCACGAGCAGTCTGAGGGGGAGTGGCCAGCAGCTGTGTCCACTCTACTACAGTGAGCAAGGACACATCGGGCTCCCTAAGGTTTAGGAAGCAGAGACAAGGAAAACTGCCCGTGTCCTCTGCACTGAAATGCTCACTTATAAATAACATTCCTTATTCTGGTCATGAAATGTAAAGAAAAAACTTCCACATGGGCATGATCTGAAATCTTTAAGAATAGTTTACACATAGCCGGGTGCCAGTAGCTCAGGCCTGTAATCTTAGCTCCTCAGGAGACTGAGATATGAGGATTGTGGCTCAAAAGCCACAGGACTGATACACCCCCATCCCCTCCAAAAAGAAAAAAAAAAAGAATCCGAAGATGGGCCCTAGCCATGGAGTGAGTGAGCCTGGAGGGTGCTCTGCACCTGCCATGGAGGCCTGTGTGTGCCAGCCTGCTGTCACTGAGTGGATTCTTGTGTCACGTTTGGGCTGGGGCCTGAGGAGTTATAAAAGGAGAGCCCAGAGACAGGGCAGGGTACAGGCCAAATGAGGCTCAGGCACAGCGTTCAGAAGGCTTGCTGGGATTGGTGGAGGAGGGCAGATTCAGACCAGCAGCACATCTGGAGCTTCCCATGTCATAGGAGCCAATGAGAACAAGTTCCCGTGGGGTCTCAGACCCAGGGAGCCCCAGTCTCGGCTGGCTTTGTAGGCACCCATGAGCTTGAGCCGGTAGTTCCTAGGGACGGGAAAGACACTTGTGGCTCCCGTCTGCCTCTGGCCCTGGGCTGGTGGAGGGTGGTGAGCATTCTGTCCCATCAGATCCCCGTGCACACGGTTCTGCCCACCTCCCAGTCCTCAGCCCCTCACCACAGCTTCTGCCCCCTACCTCTCCCCAGCCACAGCTGCCCTGCCTGGCCATCATAGCCATCAGCCAGAGTACGGCTTGGGAGTGCCTGGCTGGTCCTGAGCTTCAGACAAGCTCTCCAGGCTAATGCAGCAGGCAGGGCAGTGTTTCTTTACTGTGTGCCAGGTCCTCACGGGGGGGGTGGGGGGGGTGGAGAAGCACTCCTGACCTCTGCAGCAGGGCAGACACACACACACACACTCTCACACACACACATACATGCACGCACGCACCAGGGCACCTGGGACACAGGAAGAAGTATGGGATCCCACATAAGACCAAAAAAAAAAAAAAAAAAGTCTCAAAAAAATGAACGATGCAGGTCAGAAGAAGAACAATGTGAAGAAACCTCTGCCGGGTCATAGTTCAAAGGCGATTGCACATGAAGGAGACAAGGCTCTCCCACTCAACTGGAGAAAGTTCTGGAGCTCCCTGAGGAGCCTCCAAATCAGCCCTGTGGAGGGTTCCCACGTGTCGGGCCCATCCTGTTGGCGCCAGGAGCAGCAGAAGTGGCTGGTCACGTGCTAGAGCTCCTCGAAGAAGGCCACCCGGGACCTGGCGCTCTGCAAAGTGAGCTGTAAGAGAGCAGAGGAGAGGGTGAAAGGGGCTTCGGGGTCTGTTCTTTCACGTGGATCCCATCCTGCCATGTGGCGTGACCTCGAAGGTGGCTTCGAGTGTCGCCAGGAAGCCAAAAGAAGGTCCCAGCCTTGTTTGGAATGCAAATGTGGAGGTGACAGATGAGGACATGCCAGGAGGGATGGCGGGCAGGCAGAGGCAGCAGGAAATGTCTTCAATGTTGCTTTTTTCCCACCAGTACTGGAACCTGAACTCAGGGCTTTGTGTTTTAGCTCACAGACAATGAGCCACATCTCCAATTCTGACTTTTTTTGGTGGTTGCTGTTCGTTTATACTAGTTCTGGGGCTTGAGTTCAGGACCCCTCATTTTTTTTTTTTCCACTCAGGATTGGCATTCTACATGAGCCATACCTCTAGTCCTAGTTCCTGCTTTTTCCAAGTGCACTGGAGATGAGTCTCAAGGATCTGTCTCCCTGGGTTAGCTCCAGACTGGGAGGCTCAAATCTCAGCCTCCTGATAGCCAGGATTATAAGTATGATCCACTGAGACCCAGCCCATCCTCACCTTTTCACAGAGACAAGACAGAGGTCCTGGCTATGGTTCTAGAATCTCACACACACTGCACCTGGGGTATAGGGCAGGCCCTTCAGGTTCTGTACTGAGGAGTGCATAGCCTTGGGCAAGGCAGGCCTGGGTCAGATAAGAGCTGTTCCTGGTTCCCTGGGTGGCCCAAAGCCAGCCCAGACATGACCCAGAAGTGGACAGCTGGGAGGTGAGAGGCTCGGCAAGGACCAGTGCCCGGGGGCAGTGTACCCCAGCCAGCACGGCAGGTGCCCCGGATGCGTGCCGCCTGAGAAGCAGCAGGATGGCAGGGCGGTTCGGCCTGAGCTCTGAGCACAGCCCCGCTTTGCTTCCCAAACTGGCCCTTGGAGGGGGGACGACTCTGCAGACTCCACATTCCCAAATGTCCAACTGACTGCTGGCACAGACCCTGTGGGTGGGTGGGATGTGAGCCACGGTGGGAAGGCAAGAGCTGGCGGCCTCCGAGAACGTCCTGGCCTCGCTGAGCCTCTCTCGGACAGAGAGATAAGCCATGGGGCAAGGCCAGCTGGCCTGGCCCTGGGGCAGCTCTGAGTCTGCAGAGGCCTCAGAAGGCAGGGAGGGAGGCTCAAACCGACCACTTCACCATCAAAAGGCAGACGGCATTAGTGTGCTCGAGAGGAGACAGCTTGAGAGCCGACTCTTTAAATCCTGCCAAATCTTTTGGCCTTGAAGTTCCCGACTAACGAGCTGAACGCAGGGAAGACATTGGAGCTGTTTTCCTCAGTGGCACCGATTCCAGGAGCCCTTTGGAAGCCTAGTTCCATGGGGAAGGGAGGGAGCGTGCTGTGGGGAAGCCAGCTCCCTCCAGAAGGGTGCGGTTTGCCTGGGTGCCGTCAGAGGGCCCAGCAGGTGTGCGCCTGTGCTGGGGGAAGCAGAATGGTAACTGGGGAAGACAGAGACCCACTGCCAGACCTTCTGGAACAAAGACGCTTTTGGAGGAGGGTTTGAATGAGAAGGACAGGGCTGTGACACAGCCACTTCTGGTCAGACACAGACCAGCTGACTCAAGGCCTCTGTCCCAACAAGTAGCTGAGCAGTCCTGGGCAGGCCCCAAGCCTGCTGCCTGTACATAGAGCGGACGCAGCGCCTCACCCTGGGCATGCCCACCAGGTGTGTGCCCAGGACTGGGCAGTCCTCACTGCTAATTGCAGTGGCAATGGGTTTCTCCCCACCCCAGCCCCACCCCAGCTTGGACCCTCTTCCCCCAGTGCTCGCTCCTGTAAGCAGGCAATGCCGGGGTCACACACTGTATTGGCCTCTGAGCTGCCCTGAGAGGCTGGGCCGCTTCTGCAGGCAGGGAGCCCAGGCTATGGGGGACTCCTGTGGTGTGTACACAATGTTGACTCCAAGAATTCCTGGATCCTCTAGCCAAGGCGCTGCTGGCTGTGCCCTTGAGGTGCCAGCCGTGCCAGATTCCAGTTACTCCAGCACGAGCCCGTTAGGACATAGGGTGCTCCTCAGGGGATGGGGACCGTTCCCCACCACCCCTGCCAGCTAGGCTGTGTGGCAGGACTCAGCAATCCTCTTCTCTGGTGCCAGCGGTTTCATCTCAGCCCCAAGGAAAGTGTTCAAAGCCACTAGTCTAACCATGCTGGGCATCCGAGGAGGCTGTTGGACCCACTGGATGGGTCAGCTGAAACCTGGCATCGCTGTTTCACCTGCTTCCCCCTCTCCCCCCGGCTTACCGTACAGCCCCTTGTACTTCCAATGTCATTGGGAATGTCAAAGCATGCACTTACTCTCCAATGGTGAACCCTTCCAGTGCCCTTCAGCCTCATCCTCCCATGACGTGCTGCAGAGCAGAGGGAGGCATGCAGTGGGGAAAGAGAAGCCCTGGGTGACTTTCTTTTTTCTCTTTGGTCATGGGTCTTGAACTCAGGGGCCTGGGTGTTGTCCCTGAGCTTTTCCCGCTCAAGGCTGGTGCTCTACCACTTGAGCCACAGCGCCACTTCCGGCTCTCTGGTGGTTCATTGGAGATGAGTCTCACAGACTTGTCTGCCTGGCCTCTGCCACCCACGCAGGTGGGGCAGGGCCTGTCCCGCAGAGCTTGCCCTCACAAGGCCAGTACAGCTGGAACAGATGAGGGCTCCGAGAACATGCTGCAAAGCAAACCATTCACTAACTAAATTCTGCCTCTGTGAGTCCTTTTCCATTCAGAAAAATGGATTAAACGCTCTATTTTTGCTGCAACTCTTACACCCTAAGGTGCATGCTCCCACACCAACAACTGACCCGTCTTGCTGCGACCAGCCTGGCTCTTTTTCACAGTGGAGACGAGGAGAAAGTGCCATGGAAGGGGTCCACTGAGGGGCTTGCTTGTCCCATGGCACACTGATCAGAGCGCTACACCCACTCTGTGAGTCACACTTTGCAGCAGAACCCAAGGGAAATGTTTGTGTTCCCTTTGGCGGTGGAACAGTAGACCTTGCTTGCTGCGGGGGATGACTAGGGATGGGGCAGCTTGGAAGAGTGGACCCCTTAAATGTGTGGTGCAGGCTCACTCACACACCAAGAAGGCCATGAATGTGGAAAGTTCAGGGTGTGGACATACTGCTAGGCTGCATCGCTCTGGTGGTCCTCCTTTGAGACAATGGGCAAAGCTCTGCTGAATGGGACCAGCAACGGCCATGCCACTCTCACGCTGGGGTCCAAACACCACGCAGAGCCAGCCATGGGAGACATGGTAATCAAGCCCTGCTCCTTCGAGAAGGCAAAGTCTCCAACCCCAAATGCTCTTGCCAGTTCACTAAAGATAACACACATACACACAAAGCCTCCTCGCCAGGCACTGGGCTAACCTGCTGCTCTCTCCCAGCTGTTTCCTTGTATCTGATTAGCATTGGCCATGTGAATAATACAGGAGTAATTGTGTTCAGGTCTGTCACCAATCCAATTCCATTCTGAAGAGACCCACTTCCTTTTCTTCCCTCTGTGACAAATCTATATAATGGCTTTGTTTTTCTTAGAGGCCTCTGACCCACGCGAGGGGCCTGGCTTCTCCTTGCCCAGCACCAACAGACTGGGCCTGGAAGTCACCTCTCCTCCGCCCACCACTCCATCAGCAGGCCAGTGGTGTGTGACATCACCAGGCTGTGGAAGGGCAGGACAGGAGGCTTCTTGGCAGAGCCAGGCCACCTTTCCACTCTCCAAGCTATGTGTGATATTATGAAAAAGGACACATCCATCAAATTTAGACAGTGTGGCCTTGGGAAACACATCTATCTTCTTAAAAAGAAAAAAATGAAAACATGAGGCTGGATGTGTTAGTGCACACCTGTAATCCCAACACTTGGGAGGCTGAGGTAGGAGATCTCCAGTTCAAGGCCAGCTTAGGCTTCAGAGTTAAGTCCTTGCCTCAAAACACAAACAGGAGGGGCTGGGAAGGTGGCTCTGTGGGAGAGTGCTTGTCTTGCATGCATGAGGCCCTGGGTTCGATTCCTCAGCACCACATAAGCAGAAAAAAAAA